TGCCTCCTCTGGATCATTCAGATGGTCATTGGCAAACTTCAGACGGGCCTGGACATGTGATGACTTGAGCAGGGGAACCTTCCGTGCAATGCATGATTTGAAACCATGACGGCGTAGTGTTCTACCGACAGTGACCTTTGAAACTGTGGTCCCAGCTCTCTTCATGTCATTGACCAGCTCCTCCTTGTAGTTCTGGGCTGATTCCTCACCTTTCTTATCATCAGTGATACCCCACGAGGTGAGATCTTGCATGGAGCCCCAGTCCGAGGGAGACTGACAGTCGTCTTTAGCCTCTTCCATTTTCTAACAATTGCTACAACAGTTGATCTATTTTCACCAAGCATTGCCCAATTGCCCCGTAGCCCTTTCCAGCCTTGTGGAGGTCCACAATTTTGTCTCTGGTGTCTTGACAGCTCTTCGGTCTTGCCCATGGTAGTAGTTGGCGTCTGACTGACTGACTGTGGGGTGGACAGGTGTCTTTAAAGAGCTCAGACAGGTGCTACTAAGTTAGATTAATGAGTGGAGTAGAGGTGGACTTATTAAAAGGCACAGTAAAAGGTCTTTGAGAGCCAGAATTCTTGCGGTTTCTTAGGTGTTCAAATACTTATGTTCAGCAGTGCAAGACAAATAAATTCTTTAAAAATCATACAATGAGAGACAGAATTTAAAAAAAAAAATTCAGGAAATCACAGAGTGGTAATGCACCTACAATGTGAATTTCAGACCCCTCCATGATTTCTAAGTGGGAGAACTTGCAAAATCGCAGGGTGTTCAAATACTTCTGTCTTCCTCACTGTATATTGGTTCTAGTAGTGATGGTTCATGTTTAGGATTTCCGGAGACAGAGGTAGCAGAGGAACTGGCTTGGTTAAAGATTAAGAAAGCAATGAGCCCTGATGATATTCATCCCAGAGTTCTAAGAGAACTTCGAGGTATAGTTGTTGGACCATTATCTTATCTATTTAATCAATCTCTTCTAACAGAAGTTCCCCATAACTGGCGGACAGCAAATATTGTACGTATCCGCAAGAAGGGCAGCAAGGTAGAAGCTGGCAATTACAGGCCAGTTAGTTTAACATCGGTTGTGGTCTAGTTAAAGGAATCACTCCTGAAAAGAAGGATCATTGATCACTTAAAAACACACAAGTTGCTGGATCCAAAGCAGCATGGCTTTACTGAGGGCAGATCATGTCCGACCAATCTGATTGGATTTTTTGACTATATTACCAATGTTTTTGACCAAGGTGGTGCTGTGGATATGGCATATCTTGATTTAAGTAAGGCATTTGATACAGTTCCACATAATGATCTAATACAAAAGTTGTGCAAGCTAGGACTTAGTCCTTGGGAGGTTCAGTGGATATGCAGCTGGCTAAAGGATAGATACCAGAGTGTGGTTGTAAATGGGGTTCATTTGGAACAGAGATCAGTCACTAGTGGCATACCGCAAGGCTCTGTAGTGGGTCCTGTTCTATTTAATCTATATGTAAGTGATATAACTAAAGGTTTGTTGGGTATGTCTTTTTGCTGATGACACAAAGGTGTTTTTAATCCTTGGAGGTGTCTGTAACATGGAACATGATTTGGCATTGCTGGAAGATTGGTCAAAAAAGTGGAAATTGCAGTTCAATGTTTCTAAATGTAAAATAATGCACCTAGGGAAAAAGAATCCCTTGAGAGAGTACAACATTGGGGGTACGGTGTTGGCCAGCACTTCAGAGGAAAAAGACTTGGGGTACTTACAGTGAAGGAAATAGGTATTTGATCCCCTGCGGATTTTGAATGTTTGCCCAGTCACAAAGAAATGATCAGTCTAAAAATCGAATGGTAGGTGTATTGTAACACTGAGAGACAGAATATTTGATCCCCTATCATTCAGCAGGATTTCTGGCTACCAGGTGTCTTTCATACAGGTAACAAGCTGAGATCAGAAGCAGTCTTTTAAAGGGAGTGCTGCTAATCTAATTGTGTTACCTGTATAAAAGACACCTGTCCACAGGAGCAATCAAACAATCAGATTCCAAACTCTCCACCATGGCAAAGACAAAAAAGCTGTCCAAGGATGTCAGGGACAAGATTGTAGACCTACACAAGGCTGGACTGGGCTACCAAACTATCGCCAAGCAGCTTGGTGAGAAGGTGACAATTGGTGCAATCATTCGCAAATGGAAGAAACACAAAACAACTGTCAGTCTCCCTAGGTCTGGTGCACCATGCAAGATTTCACCACGTGGAGTGTCAATGATCATGAAAACAGTGAAGAATCATCCCAGAACTACACGTGAGGATCTGGTCAATGATCTCCAGGCAGCTGGGACCGCAGTCACCAAGAAAACAATTGGTAACACACTACGCCAACAAAGATTCAAATCCTACAGTGCCCGCAAGGTTCCTCTGCTCAAGAAAGCACATGTCCAGGCCCATCTGAAGTTTGCCACTGAACATCTGAATGATGCAGAGGACGACTGGTTGAAAGTGTTGTGGTCAGATGAGACCAAAATCGAGCTCTTTGGCATCAATTTACTCGCCGTGTTTGGAAGAGGAGGAGGAATGCTGCCTATGACCCCAAGAACACCATCCCAACTGTCAAACATGATGGTGGAAACATTCTGCTTTGAGGGTGTTTTTTCTGCTAAGGGGACAGGACAACTGCACCGCATCAAAAGGGACGATGGATGAGGCAATGTACCGTCAAATCTTGGGTGAGAACAATCTTCCCTCAGCCAGGGCATTGAAAATGGGTCGTGGATGGGTGTTCCATCAAGCCACCAAACCTTAATGACTTGGAGAGGATCTGCCAAGAGGAGTGGGGCAAAATCCCTCCTGAGATGTGTGCAAACCTGGTAGCCAACTACAGGTAACGAATGACCTCTGTGATTGCCAACAAGGGATTTGCCACCAAGTACTAAGTCATGTTTTGTGAAGGGGATCAAATACTTATGTCAGGAATTGACTCACCACTGATGGTGGGACTCACCTGCTGTGTGGGCTGCAGTACCAGGGCTGGCCAGCGGGTGCTCTCAGCACCCAGAAGCTCACTCCTGCAATTAAGTCATCACCTGAGGCTGACTGCAGGAGGTGTATTTAAGGAGTGGCCAGGCCTGCAGTCAGTGCCTTGGTGTATAGTTTCCTTTGGCCCCTGTATCCTGATCCTGCCTGCTTGAATCCTGACTCTGCACGAACTCTGCCTGTACCGAACTCGGCTATTCCTGACTACTCTTCCGCCTGCTCCTTGTACCTTGCCTGCCCGTTTGCTACCGACCCAGCCTGCCCAACTACGTTTAGTATTGCTCTTATTGTTATCTGTTGGAGGTTTGGTTTGTTTGCACTGTGTTTATGTATTGTTTAGTTTTTAATAAATTGTATTGTTTATACTATACCTGAAGCCTGCGTTTCCCTGTGTCAGTCCACACATCTCTGGTCATACCCGGAGCCCTGACATTACACCAAGGCCATTCCTGACCAGAAGTGGCTGCACAGGGAAGCCATCTTGGCTTGTTGTTGTGAAGGATGCATCCGGAGGAGGTTATATACTTGTGTCTGCTAGTCTTAGATGACAGAGAACATGCCTATCAGACTCTGCAGGAGTATGCCAGGGATCAGCTGCTAGAGTGCATACGGGTCGCTCATTCCATAGTAGATCAGGGCATAGAGTTCTCTGAGGTGCAACCATTGATTCAGGATTGTGTTGAGTTGGCTTCATCTAATACCCCTGAAAGCAGAAATGACTTTCTTCCACCATTCAGTACGGATCAAATAGAATCACTGGTATGGTTGTTGGAGGATGATCCGGATTGCTTCTGGGAGCATTATTCAGCATGTTCACCACATGTGCTAGTGGACTGTTAAACGCAGTGCAGTCTTTGGTCAGACAGGCTATGTGTAAGCTGAGTTTTGTTCAACCAATACTACAGTCCTGGTCAGACTTGTTACACCCAGCCTCAGGCAGCTTGCAACAAACCAGTCCTGCTTCTAATCATTCCTCTGCTCAAAGCTCTACTCCTGCATCCCCGACAGCACACCCAGTTACAGCCCAATATACCCTGTTATCTACCACATGTCAGTACCCTGTTCCCACTCGCTGCACCTATCCTGTCTTTAACCCTGTAAAAAAGGCCGCTGTAGCAACTATTCCCTCCTCTGTTCCATCCTCCAGCTCTTCTCTGTCTCCAGCTACTCCATCCATTTACAGACCTGCATTTACTTGCAGTGCCCTAGTAACTAAACCCAAGAAGAAGCGAAAATTCTTTCCAACCAGTACCATCCTACCAGTATCCAAACCGGTCAGCCTGCTGTCTGAGGACCCGCCTTCCGTTGTTCAGCCTGATGACCCAGTGTACGCTACCAGCCTGATGACCCGATCCAGCCTGATGACCCGATCCAGCCTGATGATCCTATCCAGCCTGATGATCCTATCCAGCCTGATGATCCTATCCAGCCTGATGACCTGGTGTACGCTACCCAGCCTGATGGCCCGATCCAAGCCTGATGACCCGATCCAGCCTGATGACCCGATCCAGCCTGATGACCCGATCCAGCCTGATGACCCGATCCAGCCTGATGACCCGATCCAGCCTGATGACCCGATCCCCTGGTGCCCGTGGTCTGGCCTGGTGCCCCGATGCCCGTGGTCCGGCCTGGTGCCTTGATGCCCGCTGTCGAGCCAGACGACTCGGTGCCCGCTGTAGTGCCAGACAACTCGGCGCCCGCTGTCGAGCTTGGTGACTCGGTGCCCGCTGTCCTGCCAGATGACTATGTGCCCGCTGTCCTGCCAGACGACTTGGTGCCCGCTGTCGTGCCAGACGACTCGGTGTCCGCTGTAGTGCCAGACGACTCGGTGTCCGCTGTAGTGCCAGACGACTCGGCGCCCGCTGTAGTGCCAGACGACTCGGCGCCCGCTGTAGTGCCAGACGACTCGGCGCCCGCTGTCGAGCTTGGTGACTCGGTGCCCGCTGTCTTGCCAGATGACTCGGTGCCCGCTGTCTTGCCAGATGACTAGGTGCCCGCTGTCTTGCCAGATGACTCGGTGCCCGCTGTCTTGCCAGATGACTCGGTGCCCGCTGTCCTGCCAGATGACTCGGTGCCCGCTGTCCTGCCAGATGACTCGGTGCCCGCTGTCGTGCCAGATGACTCGGTGCCCGCTGTCGTGCCAGACGACTCGGTGCCCGCTGTCGTGCCAGACGACTCGGTGCCCGCTGTCGTGCCAGACGACTCGGTGCCCGCTGTCGTGCCAGACGACTCGGTGCCCGCTGTCGTGCCAGACGACTCGGTGCCCGCTGTCGAGCCAGACGACTCGGTGCCCGCTGTCGAGCTTGGTGACTTGGTGCCCGCTGTCCTGCCAGACGACTCGGTGCCCGCTGTCGAGCTTGGTGACTTGGTGCCCGCTGTCCTGCCAGATGACTCGGTGCCTGCTGTCAAGCTTGGTGACCCGGTGCCCGCTGTCGTGCCAGACGACTCGGTGCCCGCTGTCGTGCCAGACGACGCGGTGCCCGTTGTCGTGCCAGACGACGCGGTGCAAGCTGTCGAGGCAGACGACGCGGTGCCCGCTGTCGAGGCAGACGACGCGGTGCCCGCTGTCGAGCCAGACGACTCGGTGCCCCGCTGTCGAGCCAGACGACTCGGTGCCCGCTGTCGAGCCAGACGACTCGGTGCCTGCTGGCAAGCTTGGTGACCCGGTGCCCGCTGTCGTGCCAGATGACTCGGTGCCCGCTGTCGTGCCAGACGACTCGGTGCCCGCTGTCGTGCCAGACGACTCGGTGCCCGCTGTCAAGCCAGACGACTCGGTGCCCGCTGTCAGCCAGACGACTCGGTGCCCGCTGTCGAGCGAGTCGGTGCCCGCTGTCAAGCCAGGACTCGGTGCCCGCTGTCCTGCCAGATGACTCGGGGCCCGCTGTCCTGCCAGATGACTCGGGGCCCGCTGTCCTGCCAGATGACTCGGGCCCGCTTTCCTGCCAGATGACTCGGGCCTGCTGTCAAGCTTGGTGACCCAGTGCCCGCTGTCGTGCCAGACGACTCGGTGCCCGCTGTCGAGCCAGACGACTTGGTGCCCGCTGTCGAGCCAGGCGACTCGGTGCCCGCTGTCGAGCCAGGCGACTCGGTGCCCGCTGTCGAGCCAGGCGACTCGGTGCCCGCTGTCGTTCGTTCAGATGACTCGTTGCCCACTGTCGAGCCAGACGACTCAGTGCCCGCTGTAGTGCCAGGCGACTCGGCGCCCGCTTCCCAGCCTGATGGCCCGGGAATTTAATTTTTAGACTGATCACTTCTTTGTGAGTGGGCAAACATTCAAAATCAGCAGGGGATCAAATACTTATTTCCGTCACTGTATACACACACACACATTTTTTTTATTATTATTATTTATTTTAACACTTACCCATCCCGTCGCAGGCCCCGAACTCATAATCAGGGACCAACCTTCAAAAATAACAAAGGCTTTGTCCTGAAGACCTTCAAAGACCCGGTCCCCCTTTTAAAAATGGGGGCCACTGCTTTGGACCTGTATAGCACCCCGCCGGAGGTGCCTTGGTCAGATCAAACTGCACAGGATTCCGAAAAAGCAGGGTACAGCGCCGTACAGTCAAAACCCTGAGGATTCTTCTCCTTATTCAGTAAGGCTCGGGTACCACCCATTTTGGCTAACAGCTTTTTGAATGGATCCGATTGAGATCCTTGACTCTCAGTAGAATCGTTCCACCTTACAGGTTGAGTACTTCCTGTGTAGGAAGGGTTATAAGAGGAAGGCGTTCCTGTTTGATTGGTCAGCCAGTGTCCATTCACCTTTAGGTGGTAAATAACCCATAATTATGGCCTGCTCTGTGTCCCGTGATGTACGAGAAAGAAAAAAAAAACAAAAACTTATGGTTAATTTTCAATCACCTTTTTTACTATTGTTGCATACAAGCTAAAGGTAAAAAAAAGAATCACACAGCAATAGTAATTGTAGCTCCAAGGACTTGCCAGCTACTTCTAGGATAACAAAAATTCACAAAACGCTGGTTTGGCCTCATTGTGAGGATGCACTTCAATTTTGGTAACCAATCAACAAAAAGGATGTCCTAGAACTAGAAAGAGTCCAGTGAGTGGCAACAAAATTGATATGGGCGTTGGAGTACCTCAGCTATGAGGAAAGATTAAAAGATAAGTTCACCTTTCCACAAAAATAACAAAATGCACATTTTTTTTCCAGGTAAAAAAAAAAAGTACATTTATTATTTTTTGTGTTAGGAGCCTCTAAAGCATTGCACCAGCGATCAGCAGATTGCTGATGCCATGCAGGTCTCCTGCAGACTGTTAGTGTATCATCTAGTACGGGAAAGTCGATACTTCTGACAGGAAGACTCAATGAACTACCACAGCACTCACAGTGCTGTGATAGTTCATTGAGGACTACAAACCGACAGCCGCTACAGGATACTGTGAATGAATGACGTGGCTGTGTGGGTGCAGCCACACTGTTTTTAAAAACGGACAGCTAGTACGGCGAACTTCCCCCCCGTACTTCTTTCACAGGGAGGGGGACAGCAGGTGGCAGCTACAAGATCGGAAACATGTTACATGTTCCACCCTAAAAAACAGGTGGAACCTGTAGCATGTTCCCAGAGGTGAACTTATCCTTTAAGTGAAATATATTCATTAATGAGCACAATCTAAAGGGATATGTATAAACTTACAAAACAAGATTACGCATACACTGATATATGGACTGAATGTGACAGACTTTACCTATGTAAGTGAATATGCATTTTTTTCTATTAACTTACAGTATTTATTTCTTGTCGCAGCTCAGGGCTGATGACAGTGCCTGCTGTCTTCTGCGATAAACACAGTTTCAAATTCCTGTCAAGCTGTTAGAAAAGACAAAGCAAATGTTAAAACAAAATGTCATTAATTATCCATATCAAATATATAAAAAGAATGGGAAAGAGGGTAAACAGCTCCCAGTCTATAAAGTCGAAAATAACAGAATACAATATGAAGTTATTCTGGAATGGTGAGCCAATATCTATCTCGAAACATGCAATAAACTCGCTTCCCAGAGCAAGGATCAGACAAATTCACAATTGTGAGAGACCATACATCCGGCAAGAGCCAGCCTAAAGAACATTCAAAGATCCAGAGTGCCAGGATGGTCTGAGAGACACAGAAAGGAAGGGGAGAAAAAGGAGGAGAAAAGGAAAGATCCGGTCACAGACTAAGGCCCCATGCTCACTAGCATTTTTTATAAGCTCAAAAACGCTAGAAAAAAAAGCCAGATGAAAATGCAGAGAATAGTGTAGTAGCGTTTTAGTAGTGTTTAGGAGGGTTTTTACAGTACATGTAAAGAAAAAAACAAATCAAATCAAGAAAAAAAGCTGTTAAGAGTTTTTGTGGCCTTTACGAGCATTCAGCATTTTTTTTCTTCCAGAAAAATTTTCCCAAAAACTCTATAAAAACAAATTTTTTTTCTGCTCCTAAATGCTGAAGCTTGAAAAATGCTACAAGCCTAAAAAAGTGTTCATGGACACATATGAGAACACTATTTAGCTTCTAGGAGCAGAAAAATAAATGTTGGTAACAGCTTCTAGGAGCTTAAAAAAAAAAAAACCTGTGTGCATCGAGCCTTAAGGAGACACTCATACCGCATAGTCATGAAAAATGCATTAAGGTACAAATGAGACATGCGTATGTATAGTTAGCCCACAGTTTCCAGTTCTTTTCAAAAATTTTTAACCATATCTTGTATAACACTGACAATATTCTCATACAACATAATCCACGTGACTTTTTTCTTTGCCAGGGCCAGAGACATGATGGATGGTTGCTTCCAGGATTTAGCAATTGTCATTTTAGTCCCCAGTAAGGTAAAAAGAATCAAACATTGAAGGTGGCAAGGGATACCATCCACCGGAGCATTAAGAAGAGAGATGTGGGGCATGTGTGGTTCGGTTTTAACCACTTGTCACCCAAGGACGTTCGTGTATGTCCTTGAGTTTCAATGGTTATATCAGGAACGTGGCTGCAGCCATAACCCCAGTATCAGTCCTTTCAGCCCGCGATGCTGTATAAATTAAAAGCATTCATCCCTTGCAATAAAATTGTTTAAAAAAATAATTTAAAAGACAAATGTAAAAAAAAAAAATTTTTAAATAACATTTAAAAAATTAAAGCGCCCCAGTCCCCCTTGCTTATGCACAAAAACAAATGCATACATAGGTCATGCATACGTTAACTGTGTTCACACCATACATGTGAGGTATCGCTGCAAATGTTAGAGTGAGAGCAATAAGATCTCCTGTGTAACAATAAACTGGTAACCTGTAAACGCTTTTAAAGCATCACGTACAGTGCCTTGAAAGAGTATTCATACCCCTTGAAATTTTCCACATTTTGCATGCCACACGTTTCAGATATTTACTTGTAAAAAATTTTGAAAACCATTGATCATTTTCCTTCCACTTCACAACAATGTGCCACTTTGTGTTGGTCTATCACATAAAATCCCAATAAAATACATTTATGTTTTTGGTTGTAACATGACAAAATGTGGAAAATTTCAAGGAGTATACTTTTTCAAGGCACTGTAAGTGCATTTACCACTTTAAAGTTTTTTTAATCTGGATTACACTATGGAGAACCTGTCTTTTTCTTTTTCATGATATTATGTCCAACTGAGTATACAGGTGTGCCTCAGTTTACAAACGCCTTGGTTAACAAATGAAAATCCATTGAAAATAATGCCTCGGTTTACGATTTTTTTACCAATTTTTTGAGCAATACGAAGTGTAGGATGGTGCCGATATTTAAATGCAATTGTCGGGTTTTTTTTTTCTGCACTATAGCTCACAGAGCTTTCACTTTCCCTGGAGTTAAATGAAGCTTTGTTTCTTTTAAGAAACTAAAAGGAAACATTGTTTCTTTTAACATGGGAAAATAAACTTGAAAGAAACTTTCACTTTTAGCTGGGGGAAGTGACAGATGAATCTCTGAGCTATAGTGAAGAAAAAAAAAAAAAGAACGGTAATTACATTTAAAAACTGGCACCATAATAAATAAAAAAAACGGCGTGGGGTCCCCCCTCCCATCCATACTAAGCCCTTCGGGTCTGGAATGGATTTTGAGAGGAATTCCAACGCCAAAATTAAAACAAAAAATGGTGTGGGGTCCCCCCCCCCCCAAAAGCCATACCAGACCCTTATCTGAGTATGCAGCCCGGCAGGTCAGTAAAGGGGGGGGGGGGGGGTCGGCGAGCGAGCACCCCCCCTCCTGAACCATACCTGGGCATATGCTCTCAACATGAGGGGGTGCTTTGGGGCAGGGGGGCTCCCCCCCATGTTGAAGGGGACAGGGGCCTCTTCCCCACAACCCTTCAAACGGCTGGAGCCCACGAACCTAGAAGGAAGACTGGGTAAAGATGAAAGCCCTGTTAGCAGTGACTGTGTGCCGCAGGAGGGCATCATTGCAAGGTATGTATGTCATAATGTGCTAGTATGTGGTGCATAATACCACATTATTACATTATCCGGCAGGGACCATTTTTTTTTGTGTTTTACTACCACTTTAATGAGTAGGCAAGATGCAACTAGTTGAAAGTAACAAGAAATAAAGGAAAGAAGCCAGAAGGTGCAGTGAATATTGGAGAAAAGAAAAACCTTTAAAACATACCTCTTCTTCCAGCTCCTGGAGGTTACAATCCATACTAGATTCCACTAGATCGACTTTCAAGTCTTCAATAGCTAAACTTTTAAGCTCAGCAGTGAAAGTTTCTACAGTTGGTGGTGGCTGAGCAAGTAAATTGTTACTAGTG